TAGTGATGTCCGGTTCGCGAACGAATCGTTCGATTTAACCGGTTCTTCTTAGTGAACCGGTTGAACCAGTTCACCAAATCGGACTGAATCGTTGAAAAGTGTAAGCATTAATCCACAAATTACTTAAGTTATTCACTTTTTAACGTGGCTGGCACTCCCTCTGAGTCGAAAATAAACCAATATCCCAATATATAGAGTTATTAATTTACTCAAACAGTACACTGAGTGAACTGCTGTGAAGAGAGAACTGATGCTAAACACGAGCGGAGCAGCATGTGTTCAGCGTGCCTGGTAACGAACGTAAACACTCACTGTAACACCGTGTCTACACCGGACGCGACAGTTGTCGTGCCGCGCCGCAACAGCTAAAGTCTGTCTACACTGGACGCGACAAAGCGACCGTTGAAAATAATTTGAAATTTGTGTCAATACGTCATGAATAGAACGCAGCAGCAGTTTTCTGTCAGCATGTGTTCAGCGTGCCTGGTAACGAACGTAAACACTCACTGTAACACCGTGTCTACACCGGACGCGACAGTTGTCGTGCCGCGCCGCAACAGCTAAAGTCTGTCTACACTGGACGCGACAAAGGGACCGTTGAAAATAATTTGAAATTTATCATAAATAGAACGCAGCAGCAATTTTCTGTCGGGGATTTGATGTGTCGCGCCGCGCCGCATCCAGTGTAGACAGCATCACTGATTATAATGAGATCTATAGTGTTTTGTCGCGCCGCACCGCTCACGTCCGGTGTAGACACGGTGTTAGGGCGGTTCTCGTTCTCGAGTCAAGAACCGGTTGCATCGGTTTTTGGATCACCTGTACACTCAACCGAGAACTGTTTCTTTTGGACACGTTCGATTTGAGTACCAATGAGCTGATGATGCATGCGTGATTCAGTGTGAAGCTACCGAACAGTACATGATTTCCAACTATGACCTACAGACACAGCACGTCTGAATCGAACTGGTTCTTTTGGACAACTGATGCTGTGCTAATGTTATGAGCGCGGGTAAACCGAAGACTTGAATGAAGGGCAATCTGGCGACACGTAAGTTTATTTAATAACAAATAAATCGCAATGGATTATGTATAGTAAGTGAATTATGGTTTCTGCGCTTATGACAACTAATTTATTTACTTTATATCTTCAAGACTTAAATCCTCGTATGCACATCATCACTGCCTGTTACTGTATTTGGGTGCTTAGTTGCAAAACTTAATTGTAAACTTTTCAGATCATGATTATGATGTTTTAACTGACTGAAGTTATGATTACTGACTTTATATATTTGAATGTGTATTTTTATCCCGGCCCGTGACGATAGACTTGATATCATTACGTCATCGCGAATGACGTCATTACGTTAGGGCGTAAAAGAACCGATGAACCGGTTTGCGGAAAAGAACCGGACTTCCCATCACTAGCAGGTACAAGCTGTAATGGCGCAGCTCTATTCTGGAAGAGGGGGTGGGAAGCAGTAGCTCATTTGCATTTAAAGACACAGGCCCGAAAAACAGTGTGTTTCTGCTTCCACTCAAAATAGGCATTTTCAAAATGATATAATAAATTATATGTTGAGTATTTTGAGCTGAAACTTCACAGACACATTCTGGGGACACCAGAGACTTGTATTACATATTGTAAAAAGGGGCATAATATGTCTCCTTTAAAACATCAAGGTAAACCATCACTGTAATAATCACCTATTTAAAATTAAATATACGGTATAAAACCATTATATATAACAGTTACAGAAATAACAAATGAACAAATCTGAGAAAAATGTATTTGTTTTGTGAGTACTTATTTGAACAAGACATTGAAAACAAGGTGAAGCACATGATATAGAGCCATATGAATAAAATAAATAATAAAATTAAGCTAGCATCACTGTAACAATGCTATATTCAGATTCAATTAAATAAGAAGGTTGTTTTACCAACTATGAAGTGATATTAACCTAAAAAATGTCTTTGTACTACAGATATGACTTTATATAGTTTTAAATTATTCAGTATTATGTATTTCATGTTTTCAGTCATGAACACTCACGAAAAAACAATAAAACAATGAACAAACTCTGCTAATCTTTAGTAAATGTGATGACAACTATTGAAAACAGTGTATGTAAAACTGGCAAAAAGTCAATCAATATAACATGATTAATTATTCATTGCCCAGTACATGCTGGGAAGAGAGTGAATGGGACTGAACAGAAAAGCTTTTGCCTGTTTGAATTCAAATAAATGCATTAATCATTAATTATCACCAAACAGCTACTGGAAACACATAAATTGAATGTAGAGCTGAAACAGTCTGTTTTATGATGTTTACACTGTAACAATAGTAAGTGTAACATACATGTGTAACATGTATGTGTAACACGTGTAACAGAGATGAAGATTCTAACCGTTGTCAGGGCGATGATCTGGTGATCTGGGGGTGGGGCGAGGAGGTTCCTGAGGCTCCACCCTCTTTCTGGGAGCATGTTTGAGAGGTTCTTGGATGTCAGTCTCTGATGAGGTGGAGAGATGTCCATCATTAATTTTGTCTTCATCTGTCTCACTCCTGTCTCTGTCCATCTCACTCCTGTATCCGTCCGTCTCACTCCTGTCTCCGTCCGTCTCACTCCTGTCTCCGTCCGTCTCACTCCTGTCTCCATCCGTCTCACTCCTGTCACCGTCCGTCTCACTGGTGTCGTTCTGTGAGTATTGATCTGCGGGCCGGTCGTGATCAGAAGCAGGTTTGCAGGGATAACTGCACTGCAGTGAACCCGTCTCACTGTCTACTGTGAAAGAGATCGGCAGCAGAGAGCGACGACAGCGACTGCATCTGAAACACACCGGCAGACGATCGGGACAGTGAGTGTGAGAGACAGTTTGTATGAGTATGTACAGGTTTATTTATACCTGTGAGGGTCAAATGTCCTCACTTATATACTGAAATATCACAACAAACGACAAGGAACATTTGACTGGTCTTCACTAATTAAAGGTTTCTGTGATGGTTATGTTTAGGGGTCGGGTTAGGCCATAAAAATATCACTAATCTGATATAAAAACAGTGGAAGTCTATATGAAATGTTTTCACTAATACAGTGAAACAAACGTGTGTGTATTTAGAGAGAGTGTGTGTGTTCAGTGTTTGTGACAGTGTGTGTGTGTGTTTTACCTGAAGCAGGAGCGGTGATACAGGTGTCCCTTCACCAAAACCCTCTGAATGAGATGAACACACGTGTGACAGACACTACAGACTCTTTTATCTGACGATCTGACCACATCTGATGAGAACTGAGAGAATGAGAGCAGAATGATGAGTTATCAGACAGACAGAAATGCAGACAGATGGACAGACAGACGGGTGAAGAGATGGACAGACAGAAGGACAGGCAGCCAAACAGACAAAAAAAAAAAAACAACAAAAAAAAAAAAGGCCACAATAATCTTCAAAAATTTAGATTTTGTGTTTGATGGGAAAAAAAAAAAACGATCTGACCACATCTGATGAGAACTGAGAGAATGAGAGCAGAATGATGAGTTATCAGACAGACAGAAATGCAGACAGATGGACAGACAGACGGGTGAAGAGATGGACAGACAGAAGGACAGGCAGCCAAACAGACAAAAAAAAAACAACAACAAAAAAAAAACAGGCAAGTAGATAGATAGATACCAGAGTGTGTGTCTGTTCTTGTGTTTTGGTGCTGCTGGATTCATTGTTCACAGGAATCTTCTGACTGACTGATGAAAATACAGAGAGTATGGATCAATAAAATGACAAATTACAGCTCTAATAAATCATGATGAACATGCAAGTTCTTTAACGGTCAATGGTCTCTCATGATCAGTACCGTGAGAGTTTCTTCTGAAGACACTGTAGATCTGAGAGACATAAGTGATGATGGACAGTAGATCCGGCTCCTCCACAGACACCAGCTCATCCGGATCTAAAAGAGCAGGAATTCCCAGCTCACGCTCCGCAACGTCAAACGCCTGATGAAGAGGAATAAAGTACATGAGATGGATAAATCACTCAACACATTCATCACAGGTATCACAGGGAGCTTCTCTGGAGCAAAAACCTGATATCTGAGATAGTTTATTACAATTTCTAAGGATAAATTAAGCTCTTTGAGTGTTTTTCTGAAGAGACTCCTCCGTCTCACATGTGATGTTTCAGTATCTTTAACAACGGGAACTAATGTCCATCTGAAGTCTACAGAAACTCACCAGACGCATGTTCTCATAATAGTTGTGTTTGGACAAGGAGTGAAAATCTCTGCAGAGAGAAACAAACAGAGAGCTGAAGATACATCAGATACATGCAGAACACATCTGGATAGGAGAAGAAATGGAAGACATACAGTATTATTCATTATGTAGAAGATGTGGAAGACATACAGTATTTATAAACAGACCAGAACACACTACTGATATGAATAAGAGCAAGAGTTTTCAAACTGGGCTAGAGGAATCTAATCAATCAGTCAATCAATGTATATTTAGGACTGTGAAATGTTTAAATGGGCACCTATGATAATATTTAATATATTTTTATGATTAAATTACACTCATTCATGAAATTTTATACAATTTCATATAATTTTGTCATTGCTTCATTCTGCATATCATAAACCGCAGGAATTCAAATTATTTTATTAAGCTGACGGCATTAGTTTTTAACATTTAACAATAGGGGCAAACAAATCTGTGTATAGCTTTGGAACTGTTTTAACAAGTTGAAGTAGGCTAAAACAACTGTGTCACCACTGTGACCAGCTGGTATTCCTAAAAAAGGTGATACCATGGTACAAGAAACATCCCATACTGAATGATTACCATAGTGGTAAACGTATTGTTATCATGTGCATAACTTATGATAATATTGTGATAATACAGTGATGTGTTGATAATTTATGCAAGTTTCTCTCTTTAGCAAGTTTTGTCCCATATCTTTTTTAAGACGATCATGTAGCCTATATTTTTTTCAAAACTCATGACTCAATGAATCAGTGTTGATTCTTACAGTAGATCGGGTCTGTGTTTGTGGATGATCGCACAGAAAGCCAGTCCATCTGTGAATGAGGAGCTCATGTCTGTGATGAGAACATCAGAGTAACCTTCACAAACATCTCCACACCAGTCCTGAAGAGCTTTCAGTGAACACATGACCGGACAAGAAAAAAACAACAAAAAAAAACCACTTAGTCCTATTTACTTCAGTCACTCCGGTCAAAGCATTATTAACACGAGGAAGCGCTCTTCAGACCGGAACAGAATATAACGGGACACCGATCAATCATGTCGCGGTTAATCGGTTTGATTTTCCAGTTACGTTGCTTTCACACAGCTGCAAAAAGTTATCGTTTATAAATGCATAACTCCATCAGAAATCAAACCGTTAGGGATCCGCATCTGCTTTCAGTGTCGCGGTCCGTCAATCTGTTGCTCCGGTTAAACGGTTAACATTTGATTAGATCAAATCGACCGATGATGGCGATCACGAGTCCGTCCGAAGCGACCACAGTAAACATCAGCAGCAAACAAACATACAGATCCAAAAACTTCCGCTATAATCCAAAAGATGAGTTCACATTCTCATAAAGCACTTCTAACGAAACACGTTACCAGAACACGTCTGAAAACAAACTAATTTAAACACAAACACGCTGCTTCACGAGACTGAAGTCTGAAAAGGTGAATTTCCTTTGAGGTTGAGGATGCGTGAACAACTAAAAGAGGGCAGCTGTGCACATGCGCGACACACACACACACACACACACACACACACACACTGGTTTCCATGTTTGATGGGGACCAACTTTATAATCATCACATGTGGGGACCACCCTTTCTAAAGGGTTAAGAGGTCTGAAAAAAATCAGGGACACTAACCATAGCTCTCTTAGCCTATACACGACTTCAGACACCTGCATTGATGAAGTAATGACTTGACCATGCTTAATGGGGACTTCTGAAAAATCGGGTTAACATGACTTACACGGACCAAATTTGCATATTATATGCATATCATTTGCACAATACACACATTCCCATGATTTGTGGGGACCTTGCACACACACTATTACACACACATTCCCGTGATTTGTGGGGACCTTGCAACAACATCTGATTACTGTAATGTCCTCCTCCATTCTGCTCTATCACTGAGTCAATCTTCTGCAGAAGATCATTCACCTGCTCTCTGTTATTCTCATCTCTGTTGTTGAAGACATGAAATCTGCCTCCGCACTGCTGTACTGCACATCTTACAACATAGTTCTCCTCGATGAGTTCCTCGATGGGATTTTCTTCCAGCAGATCTCCGTGAGTGAAGAGAATGATGGAGTATTTTAACACCTCCTGTCCAAACATCTTCTCAATATCATAAGGAACCAGCTGCCCCATCCCAGTGCATCTCATATTCACAGCAAACACTATGAGAAAAGCATGAGGCCCAGGACTGGATAAATAAACACTTCTACCTATCTCTGTCATTGACTCCTCAGTGTTTAAGTAAGTATATCCAGGAGTATCGACTACATACACTGATCTGCCTAAAACAGTGGCTTGAGCAGCTAAGCATTCGCTGGTTATTGATCTCATTCCTAATGCAGATCTGAACACTTTCTCTCCTAGTATTGTTTCCAGTTGCACTTTTCCCTAGCAGGGATTCCTTGCAGTGGTGTTTTTGACACTGTAGGGGAAAAAAGGGAAACCAATCACTTACCTCAACGTGTATTTTACATGCTTAACTAACTTTACTAATAAACACGTTAGCCAATCTGATGAACATGTAAAACATCAGAAAACAGCCATATGATATTTACGCTTTCAATGAAACAATGATATAACAATGACATTAAATGGACACTGCTTTATTTTTGTGTCCAACTTATGCTTAAAACGGAGTAAATGACACTTTCGGTGAACGCAATATAATCACAATCATATTTCTAAATAGAAAAGACTTAGAGATTTTACTAAATATATCTAGGAATCAAATTAAGTAGGTTCTTTTGTCGATATATGCCAATCATAAACGAAGAGTTATTACAGACAACCCCAATGATTTTATGATTAAGAGCTATAATCATTGATTTAGAATTACATTGGATTCTGATACATTTAGCATTTAGCTAATATAACCTTCGTATTTGGTTGTTGATCAAATCTTACCTGTACTCTGTGCAATTTTATGTTTACCTTAACATTTATAAACCGAAAGTAAATAAGTGGTTGACATGACGATGAAACGAGCAGATAGGCTCACCAGTGCCCCTTTGTGGATTAACGAAATATTACAAACGAAAACAAGTTCCCAAGTAAATTTTCTACTCGCATCTAAAAATAAAATACGTCCATGTAGGCTATTTGCAAAATAGAGGTAAACTACTTACAATATGTGGGGGAAAAATTGCAAACAAACTGGAAGTTCACTGGAATTTCTTCAACTGGAATTAACTTTAATGCTTTTCTTACCTCCATAAAGATGCTAACAAAATGAATCGTTTGTTGTTTTCCTCATCTGTAAGTTGCTTTGGGTTAAAAGCGTTTGCTAAATGAATACATTTAAAATGTAAATACTGATGAGATGTAATGTGGTTTGTTTTTTGTTCAGATTTACAGTCTACAGTCTGTAGGTTTGAGTGCTCTGTTTTTAATTCTTTGATTATTTTGATTAGGCTATTTTAGTATTTTGTGTATTTATTTATTTGAAGGGTTTCGTTTTACGGAGTGTCTATTTACACTAAGCGTGAATAGCTCGCCTTGTTTTGTTATTCAGCAGAATATTGTTTTCTCATTGCGCTGCATGTTACATTGTTACACCCCCAGATGGTGCTCAACGTTAATGTCAGTTAAACACAGACATATACAGAAATCATGAAGTAGTATTCATAAAGATCTGACAAGCAAATTAATGGCATTCAAGTGTTCTTTGAGCTCCAAGACAGTAAACGCAGAAGAAATGTACATGAATACTTTAAAAGAATGAATGTAGCTTCAACTAAAGCAACATTTTATTTATCTTTTACTTTTGTCAGTATCTTTTAAGATAAGTCCAGATGAAATCCATAGTAATGTCAGTATATATAGGACAGAGATATATAAAGAAAAACAGTACAAATAAACCACAGTACAAGAGCAGAGGATTCATTTTGGACAGTTAATTGAAATATCAGAAAGTTCAGCAAAACATATTTGTCACAGAAAATATATTCTATTAAATCTAACACTCCCCCCCATGCAAAGATAAAAGTAGTCCATCTTACACTACAGTGAAATAAATACTGTTTCAAGACCACAGACCAAATAGTATATTGTGTATTAAACATTTAAAATCTTTCAACGCACACACAAAGATTTTATTTTTTTTTTAATTACATGGTCAATTAATTAAATGAATTCATTCATTTTGTTTCTACATTTACTTTTACACATAAACAGAGTAAGCTGTCACCCACATTTATTATTTTTCAGTTTTTATTCAACAAATCAAAAGCAAAATAAAATAAATTCTTAGTAGACTCTCATGTATGGCGTCATTCTGTATGTCCAATAGCTATTGTCAAAACTGTTACTTCGCTTCTGGAAATAAGCGACTGTAGCCTCAAAATATTCTTTAAGAAACTATAAGTACTAAATAGACAGACAAATGGGTTATATATTACTAAGAGACTAAAGTTAAAATTGCATCTGTTTAAGTATTTTGTATACTTTATAATTTTGAGTATTCACATTTTACAAGTTGTATTCATACTTCTGCTACTTCACAGTTCTATAGTTTAAAACTCACATGGTTGAGTCCTACAAGTCTAGCTGAGATAGTCGCTTACACTAGAACTTCAGATTGCCCCTGTTTGAATATCAAATTATAGTGAAAACTTTCTATCCGAATATCTGAACATCTTCAAACATCTGATTACTGTAATGTCTTCCTAAAATGGTCACAGAATCACTTATTTTACCTCAACATGCATTTTACATACGTAACTTACTTTACTAATACACTACAGCTCATCAATCAATACAGTAACATATCTACTTCATTCCTGATAACTAAAGGAGAACTGATCCATGGTGTTGTCTGGTTTCTTTCTCCATTTTCCTATTAGCTGTTGGCCATGAAGAGGTTCGAGATGTTACTTGTAATTAAAAGTCAAACCATAATACTTATACAAAATACATAATAGAAAATATGCAATATTTAGTAGCATGCAAGCCAGTATTAACATCTCGAACCTCTTCATGGCCAACAGCTAATAGTACTTTTGCTTGTCACTAAACAATAATTTAACAAAACCATACTGTCACATAGGACTTGCAGTAAATAGCACACAAAGACAAATTATCCAAAATAATAGTCTTTAATACAAAACTTTGCAGGAAACAGATCACACAATACCTTTACACAGAACTGACAAAAGAAGGAAACACAGGGTTTAAATATACAGATAATGATGAACTGAAACAAAACAGGTGTGGGATCTAATTAATCAAAAACCATGGAAACTGAAACTCAGGCAGGCAAACAGGAACAGAATGTCTGTAAAGCTGCTTTGATTCAGTATTATGAGCAATGGAAATAAAAGTGAATCTAGTGAATATTATTACATTACTTTAAAATGATTCAGAATTGAGATACCTTTTTCTGAATGTAAAAATAACAAATTTCAAGAAACTTTTGAAGACACTACTCTTCCAACAATGAACTGCTCATATCAGTGAATTATACAAAGTAATCAAAACTGTAAAACTATAATCACATTTTAGCTGTCAAATCATTTAGTGGACTTACGATCAGCCTCTGCACTGTTTCTGGATGCTGCAAAAAACGTTAGTGAATCTGATGAACATGTAAAACATCAGAAAACAGCCTTATGATACTTACGCTTTCAGTGAAGTAAATGACACTACTTTCGGTGAACGCAATCACTACTATAACAATTATAATCACAATCATATTTCTAAATAGAAGAGACTACAAGCATTGATTTTATAAAATATATCTAGGAATTAAAAGTAAGTTGGTTCTTTTGTCGATATATGCCAATTGTAAACAAGTAGGTTACAAACAAACTCATTGGTTTAATGATTAAGCACTACAACCATTGCTTTTGTAGCATTATATTGGATTCTGAAATATTTGAACAAACTTTTAACATTTAGGTAACATAACCTACATATTTGGTTGTTAATCAAATCTTACCTGTACTCTGCGCCATTTTACTGTATGTTCACTTTGACATTTATAAACCGAAAGTAAAAAGGTGCTCGAGTTGACAATGAAACGAGCAGATGTAAATACTCATCAGCGCCCCACTGTGTATAAACGAAATATTACATATGATAACAAGTTCACTTTTTATGTACAGGAAATGTAAAGAATGTTTAATTTATATAAATACAGCTGTTTATATGCCTACATAAAAATTGGGGAAGGTTTAAAGTGAGATTTTCTACACACATCTAAAAATGATCTACATCTGCAATACTACTGCTATTAGATACATCTGTGTGCTTACACCATCAGTCACTGTCTTGTGACTGTAGCTTTCAGCCAGGGGAAGATGTCGTCTGGGGGTGTCCAACTTTCCTCGGACGTTTCAACCCTGAACCACAACGTCCTCCAGTTGGCGGGTAGGCAGTGATGGCCAGTCACTGCCCATCTTCTCCTGGCTTCCATCTCAACTCCTCCCGCTTACT